CAGCAGCAGCAGCAGCAGCAGCAGCAGCAGCAGCAGCATTTTAATCTTGTATAAAATCTAATAAAATAAAATTCTTCATCTAACGTCTCCTTAAGAACTTCTTTTGTTGCTTTCTCCTTTCTAGTGTACGTACAGCAGCCAGCAGGCACTATATTGTATCTACATATATAATAACTTCTATTATATATAATTTGAATCACATAGACAAAAGTATAAAAGAAGTAAACTTTAATGCTTTCTCTTGAACGCAGTCAACTAAACAAATTACTATTCATCATATATTGTATACTACATTTATTATGTTTACTAAACGGCGAAAAAAAAAACTGTTGAGCAAATATTCTTGTAAATAAATTATTCAATATATATAATAAATTTATATATTATGCATATTCTATTCACGTCAGCAACTGTTTGTCCCCGTATTCCTCTTGATCCCATTTGTTTTCTCTATCACATTCTTTGTAACGGCATCAGCACACTCAGCCAGAATAATTTCTGGTTATTTTCACATCAGCAGCATCCGCGTTTTCTTTTATATTTCTACATAACAATAATACAGAACACATACACTGCTGTGCTGCTTTAATAAAACGTATTGGCTCTAGACCTATACAATATCCTTGCTGATTTAATATAATAAAGTTTCTACATATCTATTCAACGTTTTCTATGCTTAATATAATTTATTTTTACGATGAAATTTTCATCGCTGCTACACAGCAACAGGGTCACCTGTGTGCCCCCCAGAGCCGAGTTAGTGTAAACCGTATGGATATAGGCTAGAGCAGCCCCTCGTTTGTGTTTAATAATTCATGAAAAAAAGTGAAATGCAATAAAAGATACAATAAAGAGAAACATTTGGGGGTTTTGTGCCCAGCTGATTATCGCTTGTACTGCAACAAGCCGTTAGCTCTGCAGCAGCCGCAGCTACAGCACATGAANGCCCAGCTGATTATCGCTTGTACTGCAACAAGCCGTTAGCTCTGCAGCAGCCGCAGCTACAGCACATGAATATTTTCTGTTTTGTTTCAATTTTACGGATTAAATTAAAGTTAAACTAAAAAACAATTTGATCGATCACTTATTCTTTCTCTTTTCGGACGAAGAAACGCAGAAGGCTGAAATTCATATTTCGTGTTTCAGTGTGTGGCCGGTCGGCGGCGGTTTGTTGGGGGTTTCGTTGTGTGTGTGCCCGTCTGTACTGTGCAGCTTTCTGGTTTTATAAATTCATTTTTTCTCTTTTAAAATAAAATACATGATAATATTTCATTAATTTATGAAGAAGACGGCGTTCTGGGGTGGCCAGATACCGCTTCCTCACCGTCGGCGCCTGGCTGCGGCCCGTGACGAGCTTGCAGTGCATGTGTTGTGTTGCAGGGTAAGAGAGTGGCTTTTCTTGGATCGAAACAAAGTAGATCTTTACTTATTTTCCTTTTTCTTCTTGACTTCAGCTCTCTTGAACACCAAATAAGAGCAGCAGCAGCAACAGCAGCAGCAGCAGCAGCAGCAGCAGCAGCGGCGCGCCTGCAAGCCTTGAAGGCCTACTAACAACAACGGCCTTCGTCTTCCTCGGCTCAGCAGCAGCAGCTGCAGCAGTGCGTTGTTCTCGTCTTTGTCCTGTGTTAATAATTGTATTTCCATTTGCCTAAAACGAGTAAATCAAGCAAAGAAGGCCACCAAAAGCACATCTTTATCTTCCTTTTCCTCTTCATTTTCTCTCTCTTTGTGTCTCGTCGAGCCAGCTAGAGACTCGTGCCCGCAGCGCCTCGTCTCTTTTTCTTTGCTGTTTTTGACTTTGGCTTTTCTTATTTTGTCTTCTCGGTCTCCCCTTTTCACGCGTAGAGGGAGAAGACACCGCAACCAGCTGTATATAACTACTCCCCGTGCATCAACTCACCAAAAGAGGCCCGTCCTTCTCCGCCTTCAGCAGCAAACAAGCAACACAATAACAACAAACAAACCTCAAGGGAGACAAAGCCAAACAGAAGCAGCAGAGACCGAGGGCCTCCCCAGGTCCTCAAGCTGCCTCCTCCTGCTGCTAGCCACGGACGCAGTTCCCCTCTGCCTTCTTGGTCTATGTTTCTTTCGTGCATAATACAGCAAAACAAATAGACAATTAAAATTCAATACTACATAAACACAAACAAAGCAAGCATTTTCTCCTCTCGCATCAGTTAACCATGCATAGCCGCACCACAGGGGGCTCGCCGGAAACATAATTTGCTGCACTTGGGGCCCCCGCGCTGCTGCAGGGGCCCCTGCCGCCATGCACCCGTTCATACGCCCTCCGACGCTGCAGACTGAGGATCTGGTCGTGAAAGGGGGGCCCCACGGGGGCCCCCAGGGGGGCACCCTCTCGCTGCAGCAGCGGGGGGCCCCTGTCCCTCGTCTCCACCTCCCGCTGGGCCCCTGCTGCAGTCAGGCAGACGGCGAGGGGAGCGGCTTCGGCTGCCATCCTCCTCAGGCCCCCNTCTGCTGCAGCTAAAGAATCCGTCTTGCACCTATGCACCTACCGGGGGGCCCCCCGAAGGGGCTTCCCTCAGGATGGAGGCCCCCTAGGGAGTTCCCAGGGGCTTCCGGCAGCGAGGCCAGCGACGCTGCTGCATGCGTTTGCGCATGCAAAGGGTTTCAGCAGAGTTGATGGAGGAGGAGACCCCTTCTCCTCTCTCCATGGGAGGCAGCAAGAGCAGGGCCCCCACCATGTCAAGGCAGTGGGGGCCCCCGAGGGCTTGCCTGGGGAAAGCAGGGCGCTGGGGCCCCCGGCTTGTGCAGCCGGGGGCCCCCGTCGCACCCGTGCGGCAACGCAGACACCGCAGCGTGCCGACACGCAAGAAAGCAGCTGCAGTTCTCAGCTGCAGCAACAGCAAAAGCAGCAGCAAAAACAGCAACAGAATGTAGTTACGCGTCTCCGGCTGGACTTAGGCTCTGTATCGCGAGCACTGGATATCAGCCCAAGGAATCAAGCTGGCTTAGGGGGCCCCTTTGGGGGGGCCCCCTTAGGGGGGCCCCCCGTAGGGGCCCCCAGCTCCCCCTGCGGTGGGGCCCCACAGGATCGCATGCAGTGCCTTGAGAGCTCTGATGCAGCACCAGCAACAGCAGGGGGTTACAGAGTGCGTCTGCAGCAGCACAACGAATGGCATGCTGAGCGTTTGTCTCCGCTGCAGCAGCAGCTGCGTCGGCAGCAGCAGCAGCAGCAGCAGCGTCGGGGTCACCTAACAGCTCGAGCCTGCACAATGGGGGAGCCTTGGCCCACATCCTGCAACAGCCAGCTGCAGGGAGTGCTCTTCTGTGGTGACACCCCAAGGGCCCCCCGCAGCAACGTGCAGAACCTCGTGCAGCAGCTGGCGGCGCGTCGTCTCCGCAGCAAGGGTGGGGGGGCCCTCAGGGCTTTGGGGGGGCCCCTCAGTTGCAGAGCAGACAGGGGAGCATCTCAGCTGCGCTGCAGGGGATCACTAGAAAGGGATATAAACAGCAGGGGGCCCCCAGATACTCGCGCCAAAACTGCTGCTCATGAAGGCACCGAAGCAACAGGAGGGGAGACGGGGGGCCCCCATTACATCAAAGAAACAAAAGCTGCCGATACACCCCAGCAACCGAATGCACCCTGCTCCTCTGCATGCAGCGGAGGAGCTGTAGCAGGAGATGCATGCGATGAAGGGTGGGGTCCTGGAGGTGTGCATGGAGGGGGGGGGGCCCCCTTGGGGGCCCCTTTGGGGAACCCCCTGCTGCAGGCAGCACTGGCACGGGGGCCCCCCGAGAAGGTCGTTGGGTCTTATCTGCTGGGCCGCACCATAGGAGAGGGTACCTTCGGCAAAGTACGCGTGGCAACGCATGCATTGACGGGGGAATGTGTTGCTGTGAAAGTACTAGAAAAGGAGAAGTTGAAGGCAGCAGAAGACGCAGAGAGAGTGTTGAGAGAAATTCATATATTGAGGGCTGTCAGACACCCACATATTATTCATCTCCTAGAGGTAACAAAACACCCCAAACCCTAAACCCTAAACCCTAAACCCTATANCCACATATTATTCATCTCCTAGAGGTAACAAAACACCCCAAACCCTAAACCCTAAACCCTAAACCCTATACATCCCCAAAGCATTCCCAAGCTGTCTAGCTGTCTATACACCCCAAGTGCTGAACAGGAAAAATGAAGCCGTTGTTAGCTAGTCTCAACAAAAACAGAATAGAACAACCCCCCCCTAAACCCCAAACCCTAAAGCCTTAAAGAGACCTAAACCGTAAACCCTCAAAACCCTAAACCCTCAAATAGCCAGGCATTTGTTCGTGCTGCGGGGGGATTCCTTACTGCCTCTAGGGTTTATGGTTTACGGTTTCGTCTTTAGAGTTTAGGGTTTAGGTTGTCCGGGTTTTGGGGGTTTAGGGTTTAGGTGTCTGGCATATAGAGCTTGCTGTTTAGGTTTTAGGGTTTACTACTTAGGGTTTAGGGTTTGTAGTTTATCGTTTGGGTTTTATGGTTTAGGGTTTGTGGTTGAGGGTGAAGTAGGTGTGTGTGTAAGGGTGCGGTTGTTGTGTTTATTAGGGGTGTGTGCAAGGGTGGGGTTGTTGTGTTTATTAGGGGTGCGTGTAAGGGTGGGGTTGTTGTGTTTATTAGGTTTGTGTGTGGGGGTGGGGTTGTTGTGTTTATTAGATTCTGGAGACTGCGTCTCGTTTATACTTGGTGATGGAGTTGGCTAGTGGGGGGGAGTTATTTGATTTTATAGTAAAGAGACAGCGTGTAGATGAGGGGACAGCTCGTCGTTTGTTTAGACAAATTCTTTCTGGTGTTGAGGCTCTGCATTCTCTCTGCATATGCCACAGGTAAATTCCAATAGAATACTCAGCTGTATGTACACCTCAAACATGCACAACATAACGAGCTGTACGTACACCCGGCCCTCAGGAAACACACACGGCGCAAACTGCATGCTCGACGTGTGTCTCTGCTGCTGCTCCAGTTGCTGCAGCAGTTGCTGCAGCAGTTGCTGCTGCTGCTGTCATTCATGCTGCTGCTGTTGCTGCTGCGGTTCGTTTCTATCTCTCTGTGTGAATGCTTCGCTGCCGCTGCACCGCCTGCTGTAATCACTTGCTTTTTTATTTGAGTTGCTGCAGTATCTCCTCTGCCTTCACTATCTCATTTATAATTTTTCTATTTTTTCTTTCCTTGCACCTGCCTCATTTCCTTTTTTTTTTATCCTCCATCTACTGCTGCTGCTGCTGCTGTTGCTGCTGTTTCTTTTGTTGCTGCTGCTGCTGTTGCTGCTGTTGCTGCGGTGTTTGCTTTTTTTCTTAGAGACTTGAAGCCTGAGAATCTGTTGCTGGACGCGTCAATGAATATAAAAATTGTTGACTTTGGTTTATCTAATATATACAGCAACAAACCCATGCTGAGGA